GAGAGAGAGAGAATGTGTGGAACAGAGAGAGGGGGAGAGGCAGCTAGTAAAAGTGAAAACTATTTAATTGAAAGTAAAACCCTTTTAAATTTTTGCAATTATTTTCAAATGTGTGTGTGTTTGTGTGTGTGTTGCAACTTTATGTGAATTTATTGTGGGCTTTACTTTTACCTGCAGATTTAAGACGAAGTAAATTAGGCAAAGTAATGTTGGAAGTTGGCTATATGGTCAGCTATTGAGATCATAATGATCATCATAACATAGACATAGTTCATTAAACTGCGTACGCTCATTAGCATAAGAAGGCAATCAAATGTCTGAGCTAGCTTATTATATATGGGCAGCTTTAGAGCTCGACTTATAGGCTAATATATCATTTAAAAGTCATCATTGTCTGTGTTTAATAATGATCACTTTTATATTACTATTGGATATAAATTATGATCATTTCCATGTGTCTGTATATGTTAGTTTTCTATGAAAACAACAATGATCATTGCCATGTATGTCTATATATTAATGATCCTACGATGATCAGTTCTATTATATGAATCTATATTTCTATTCACTTTTATTATTCTATTATTTCTATTTATTTATTTTCAATGCTTAAACATTTTAAGTTCTTCAGACTCTTGGTTTTTAATCAATGATCAGTATTGATCTATGATTGGCAGTAGAACGATCTATTATAGACTTATTTTTTGGTATCCTAGAGTATTTTATTTTAGCTCAGTCTTAAATAAATAAAATAAAAATCTGTAGAATTTGATTGCTTAAGTTAATTTGACTGTCTTTAAAAGTCTCAAGAGTTATCTCTTACTCCCTCTCTCTCCCCCTCTCCCTCACCCTCACTCTGGGAATCAGCTGATCAGCATTTTCCATTCACCTTTATTGCAATCACACAAATAATATTCATACTCGTATATCCCATGATCATCTCTCAAGTCGGAATCTCATTTAAATTGATAATTCGTATAGCAGCTGTGGGCCAGTCAATTTTGATATGTGCATTACTTAAAACAGAAATCTTATTTATGGCAGCAGCAGAGAGACTGTTCACCCTTTGCGCGGAGTCAACGCAGCGAGAACCCCCAGAATATTTGAATTCCTAAAGTGATTCACAACACTCCCTTTCTTCCTCTCTCTCTCGTTCATTAACTGCTGCTGCTGCATTTTAATAACTCTTACTAAATATGTTCCCACGCCCCAGCACAGCCGAGCTCGATCGTCAACCTTGCCAGCTGCTCCAGAAAGTGCAAGGCACCTAAAATGAAATCAGAGAGAAGAAAAGTCAAGACAAGTCAAGTCAAGTCAATGCACGCATTTTGTATGAATCGCGCGGTCGTTCGCCGATCATTAATTTGAATTAAATTAATGCAGTGCGAATGGCATTATTGCATAATCGCAGGCGGCGCTGCAACAAATCGTTGGCACGTTTACGTTTTGATCACATGTTTCCCAAAAAAAAAAAATAATAATAATAATAATTCAATGAACCAGCCCGCGCCAGCCGCATTGGTGGGCGGCCGTGCACGCCCATTTTACAAGGCGCCGCATTCAAAATATGCGYGACCTCAGCTGCGTTTTTTGAACCCAACAACTGGCTAAATATTTTGTCGAAAATTGAATTTTATTGCACGATACGTTGAACTTGCGTCTGTTTCGTATAAAAAAAAAAAAAAACTAAATAAATAAATAAATAAAATAAACCTGTACGAACATTTCCGCATTGTCGCTGCGAGCAGAGAGTGAGCGAACGAACGCACGAATGAGGGAGCGAGCGAGCAAGTGAGAATTAAACCGAGCGCGAGAACAGCTTGCACACGAGTCTCGCGCGCTCACTCGCTCTCTAGGCTGCACGCGCTAAACTTTTATTTATTGATTTAGATTGGTGCGAGCGGGAGAGCACGAGAGATACGAAGCGACGACGAACGAAAAATTTCAATGTCAAATTTTAATTTAGTTGCGTTTTTTGACTCAGAACATTACCAATATGGCAGGCGCACCTCTCGCTCTCGCTCGCTCTCTTCTGTCTACACACATGTGTGTGTGTGTGAGTGTTCGTGTCGTGTGTGTGTTCTTTTCTATTATAGCACTATGTGTGAGTGTGTGTTTGTGTGTATTTCATATCAAGCGAGCCGAAAATTTTGGTTGAGCTGTCGGAATTAATTTGTTTGTATGCCTCAATACATAGACAACTATTATGCAAAAGTGTGCGTGTGTGTGTGTGTGAGTTTTGGGGGCTGCCATTTGTTTGTTTGTTGTTCTTTTGGCGTATTTCTCTAGCTGATAGTGCTGCTCGCTCCGCACACCGTCCCCGCTCCCTTGCTCCACAGGCTGTGTTCGTGTGAAGTGAATGAAACTTTCAAGGTCGCCTCTTTGTGTGTTTGTGTGCGTGTGCAGTGTGCGTATTAGATAATAGTCATGAATTCTTCTGCCATATCGGCTATAGATTCTCATATCTATTATACAGCCAAACAATGTCCTTGGGCAAAAGATTTGCGTATCTATCCAAAAATCTATCTATGTATGTCGTATCTTTCACTCGAGAATGTGCGGTGAACTGGTTAATCAGCTTCTATTTCTTGTTAAGCTTAATTGTTATTAGTAATAAAAAACAAAACATATCTAATTTAAACAATTTTTCTATATGTATAAAAAACTGGACTAGTCGTTTCTTAAATCAGGAAGCATTTTTGCGTTATAGCCATATCTAAATTTACCCTATATATTTATGAGTATGTGTGTGTGTACATCCGCCAAATTTGTTCTTATCAGCTTAGATTTAAAAAACAACAGAGGTTTTGTTTTCTACAAATTTCTAATTTTTAATTGCGAATTTAAGCTAATTTTAAAACATAGTATAATTGAAATGGTTTATATTTAAATGGGAATATACCTTCTACTGTATGTATAATTACATGTACATATGTAAATAATATATGGTTTCATATTAAAAAAAAAGTTTTGTTATAGTGTATCTTAAAGTCAGCTTATATATAAATTTTTTTTTTGTTTTTTTTTTTATGTACATATAATTTCCATGTGGCACATATTTAAAAATATATATAACGGAATGTGGGCGCAGTAATAATAACACCTACGCCTTGCCTCTCCCCTACGGCTTGTCTGTCTGTCTGACTGCCCCTACATACCCAAGAGATACACAAAAGGGATTCTGTACGACTGACGTCATGAGAGAATGTTATATTGGCTTAAATATTCACACCCATACACACATACATATATTTCGTTTTGGAAACTTGCTTTGTAATCCATTCACGAGCGTGTTCCTATAAACAAAGCAACAAGGTCAGCGATGTCGCACTCCCCACCCCACGCGACACTCGCTTATATCATCTAAAACAATTCAATTTGTTAATCGACGACACGTGTAAAGTGTAATATTAAAAATAGAAAGAGAAAGAGATAGAGACAGAAGAGGAAGACTAAGCAGAGCTATTCGTGCGAACTGGCGCTTATCATTAGATAGGCAAAAAAAAAAAAAAAAAAATTAAAGGGCAGGCAATGCGTCACATAACATGTGTATGTGCATATGTGTGTATGTGTGTGTAAATATGCAGGTATATTATATATAAACATTGATAAGAAATCTGCATGCATTTATCCATTTAATACCACAGCATTATGGGTATGATCAATGCATTTCGAGTTTTAGTTTGAATTAAAGAGAACTAAAGATTTCACACGCACACAGGCAATGGGTGAGAAAGAGAGAGAGAGAGAGAGAGGGAGATACAGTGGGTAGATGCATAGGCAGCGACAGACGCAACGGCAGCGACAGTGGCAAAGCAAGATTTGTTGTTGCTGCAGCAAAAGTGCAACGATCTGCAGTGCAAAATGTCAGTGAACTTGTTGAGACAACAACAACAACAACAACAATAACAACAGCAACAACTACCAAATGCAGACATCGAAGCGTGTCTGGCACACAGAGACGCCAACAACAAATACAACAGCAACAGCGCCTCTTTCATGATCATGATAATGACGTTTGCGCTTGCTAATGATGATCAGCATATGTATGTACGTATGTATATGGGCAGCATAGTTGAGCATGCATGCAAGTCGATGGCAGTTTGCAATTGTTTTTGTGCACGAGCGTAGACAATGCGTGTAGCGCCAGCTCGCTCTAGCACGCAAGCTCTATGCCAGCGGGCAATGGCAAATGAGCGAGCAGAGCAAGCAAAGAAGCAGAGGAGCAGCGCAGCAGAAGAGCAAAGAGCAAAGAGCGTAGCAAAGCAAGGCAGAGCGTAAGACTTTCTTGTGTATGAAAACCAGTTTTTGTTTTGTGTGTGTGTGTGTGTTGTGTGTGCGCTGCTGAAGAAAGTCTTTCGCCTGTGTGCTTGTCGCTCTGGCTCTCTTGTTTCGTTATCTTGGCGCAAGATTCTTGTTCTGCTTTGTTTACTTTCTTCGTTCGCCTGCTTTCTTTGGCCGCTTGCGGTGAAAGTTACGTAACACTTGCTGCCTGCAATTGTCTTCGCGTGTTATACACTCCCCTCGCTCTCGCGCTCTGTCTCTGTCTTTCGCTCGCTTGTGCTGCTTGGCCAGAACAAGCTCAAGTTCAACCAGTTGCCCATTCTGTTTTGCTGCTTTCTTCGTTGACATTGGCATTGGCCAGGCGAGTGAGCGAGCGAGCGAGTGGCTCTTCGTGTGCAAAGAAAGTATTACGTCTGTATTTACTTTCTTCGGCATTGGCCTCGGCTGTCGCGGAGAGTAAAAGTTTAACTGAGGTGTGCTCAATTATCAAGATTTACAGAGATTATCTTAAGAGTTAAATTCGAAATGAATGCTGTTAATTTCGTTTTGGTTTTTTAATTAATTCAATACGCGTTCATAGGTTATGTTATGCATAAATTTTAGATTATTTTGTACTTAAAATATTTGTATACATTTTAAATGAATTTTATATCTATTTATTGCATATTCATTGATTTTCATATTAATCGATTTTCTCCTTTGCTCTCCCTTTGCAGAATTCGATGGCACCACTGTGCTGTGTCGCGTCTGCGGAGATAAGGCCAGCGGCTTTCACTATGGCGTGCATTCCTGCGAGGGCTGCAAGGTAAGTTTGTCTCCCAGTACATATATGTATGTATGTACTTTCGAATAGAACTAAGCATTTGAGGGGGTGTCTGCTGTGGCAGCAACCACCGGGACACCGTCTGCGCTGACATTGAACTCAGTTGACCTCGCTGGCAAGGGTAAAGGGCCCGTGCCGTCGGAGGGTTGTTGCTGTGCAACAGGAACAGGAACAACTTCATCCATAGATTGGCAACTGCGTGGCAGACATGAAAACCTGCGTTGCTCCTGTTTGTCCTTGCATAAATTGCGTCGCAATAAAATAAATCACAAGTATCCTGAACCCTGCAAACACCACCAACGAGCAGCAGCAAGAAGTGGCAGCAGCAGCCGCCGCCGTAGCCAAGCACCACCGTGTTTAGCCCTTTTGTCTGTGACATTGAAAATTGCCGCAAGTTCATTCGCCCGCCGCTGCCCAAGCCCAATGCTGATCGTGCTCCCCTCTCCCTCTCTGTCTCCCTCTGCCGCTCTGCCGCTCTGCCGCTCTGTCTCTCCCTCCCTCCCACTGCAGTGGACGCGAGCTTAATCAGCCGCTCGCTCTTGCAGTTGCTCTCCCTCGCTCTTCCTCTGTCCCCTCTCTCTCTCTCGCTCACTCCTCAACCTTGGCAAAGTAGTTTGCCCTATTCCCTTATATTCGCCGCGCTGCCGCCAAAGTCGGGAATAATGTCTCAATGACGTCCTTGAATTAGGTTAACAGCCAGTTTCCAGTTCCAGTTTGCTCTCTCGCTCTCTCACTCTCTCTCGCTCTCTCGTCTGCGATCCTTTGTCGTCGTCGTTGTTGTTGTAGTTATTTTTATTTGTTTAGCATTGGTTTCTTTCTTGCGGGCTGCCGAGACGTCTGCGCGTCTGAAATTTCAAACTTTCCAAGACTTTGGCCCGCTGCTTTTTGCGAATATTCTTTTACGCTTTTTTGCGCTTGCCTTTTCTTTTTTTTTTTTGCGTTTATATTTTGTTTTTTTATATMATTTTGGCAAGTTCATTGACTTTGCTCTTGACCAATCGTCGTCCAGTCTTGAGCTTTGGGTTTCTTGGAACGTTTTTTTCTTTTTTCTGTGGATTGGTGAGTTTTTTATTATACATATGTATATGCATACATACATACACGTATGTATGTATTTTTGCGCCTATATAACTCGCTCTCTTTATGTATAATGATATTAAGTAGCTCGCGTCGCTTTTATCAATGTTCCAGTCACACACATGCGCTAATTTGAATACATACATACACACACACACATACATGCGTATGTATGTTTTGCTCGTCTGGCAGGTAGGCCTATTAACAAGCTGCTCGTACGCGCTTTTTTGAAGTTCAAGGTTATGCTTAAGGCACAGGGTCCCAGCAGCAGCTACGCTCTAGCTGGCTCGAAAACCTGTCCTGCCCTTCTTTGCACACGCACGCTCGCACTATGTCTCCTTCTCTTTCTCGCACTCTCTTTAAATAGTATCTAGAAGTAGGAAGCAAGTTTTAGAGGTTTTTTGCCATTTTCGTATTGCTCATACGACGCGTTAAACGCTGTCATCATTATAGCTGCTGCTTTCGTTGTTGTTGTAGTTGTTGCTGATGTTCGTCATGTAGCTGATACTTCCGCCCAGGCCAGATCTGACTCGCTTGGCTTTGCTTGAGCACCTGGCCAGAACCAGCCTTCAATGTGTCTATTGACCTCTATTTTATTTAGTATAAATATACATACCTACATACATATGTATGTATGTGAATACATGTATCATAGTCGAGCTGGAATTTCGTACTATTCATATGAACTGAAAGCCCACAGTATGCCTTTTTGGGATAATCTTGGCTATAGTTTAACAAACACTATTCTATTTCGATATCGAATTCGAATTTTGTACTGTTATTATATGCAATTAAAAGCCCACACGCTGTTAGTTAAGGTAAATTTTCTCGCTTACTTACTCCAATTCGAATTCGCATTTCATAATATTCTTATAAGCTTTACTTAACACTTATTGGAGTTGTATATAATTTACATACATACATATGTACGTATGTATTTCTTTATTGCCTTCAACCTTCAACATTTCAATTCCAGCTATCCGTCTACCTAGCTCAGCATGCCTAGCCTATTCTCCTATAAGCCTGTTTTTTCGTCCCTCCCTACGCACGGCCTTCCGCATCTATGTAGGTATCGCTTGACTATTTACCATATTCTCTGTTCACTTGGCAACACCATTCTTCAACACTTTTCCACTGTGCCTAATGACCCAATTTGTGTGGTGTCGTCCAGTCCATGTTATGGGAATGGCTCATTTGCGCCGTCTTCGATAATTCCTCCAAATTTAAGCATAAAAACAAAACGTAGAAAAAATAAGCAAACGGAGGCACAAAAATAAATTAAAACCGACATACAGACACACATACACATACGTGTGTGTACATAAATAGGTAAACATGTTTGTGTGTATTTGTTGACGTTGGCGCTTTTGAGTGTGATTTCTGTTATGGCTTGCGTCCCTCTGTCCTGCTCTCTCTACCTCCCTCCCTCCCTCCCTCTCACTCTTGTTGGTCAGCGTGAATGGTTAGCTTTCTTTGCTCCACTCGGCTACTCTTCGGCTGTTATACAACATGTTTTTGTTCTTTCATATTATTTAGCATATTTATTTATTGTACATTTGTTGTTATTCTTTTCCTTTCCACACACACACACACACACACGTACACATTCATACATTTGTTGTTGCGTTTTTTGCTGTGCTTCTTTTTAGCTGCGTTGCTGTTGATGTATTTTATGCTTCGTGTAGTTCTCGTGTGTGCAGTTGTTGTGAGTGTGCGAGCGAGCGAGCGAGTAAGTAAGTAAGTGTGTGTATGCTTGTGCGTGTGCGAGCAGAGCTGACTATGAGTGTGTGTGTGGTTGTGTAAATGTGAATGAACTCGTTCAATGTCAGCTACGACGGCGAAGCAGCGTACGCAGCATGGGCCACAAGAAGCGGCAGTAGCAGCAGCAGCAGCAGCAGAGGCAGAGTCAACAACAACAGCAGCAAAGAGCATAAGCCGTGAGAGGCCTCAATGTGCTGCGCTCACACTCTCGCCTGCAAATGCAGCGGCAATTGTGTTCGCTCTCTGAAATAGTTTAGTTGTTTGTATTTTCGATGTGGAGTTTTCGTATATTGTTTTTGATCTACTTATGCATGTATGTATGAATGTATATATTGACGTGTTAAATGATTAGCATTACGTTGAGTTCATATTCTTATCTGCCTGTTATACTCTAGGCTTTTAATACTGCTATTCTGACTGACTCATCTCTCTCCCTCTCTCTCTCTCTCTCTCTCTCTGGTAAAAGTTCCATTTAAAAATTGTTCATTACATTCCTAACCTGCATCAATAATGACGTTGCATCAATAGAGCAAGACCAAGAGAGCAAGAGCGAGAGAGAGAGAGAGAGAGAGAAATACAATGATAATACACTTGATAATCATTTCGAGCATAGAGAGGAAAAATTAGTGTGTGTGCAGTGTCTGGAGGGTTGGCCGAAAATATATAGAAAATACATAAAATAAATATAGAAAGAACACACACAGAGAATCCGAATCGACAAAAACAAATAGAAATATAAACTCCAATTTCTGAGCTGAAATAATAAAAATATAGATAAGTTATTAGATATCAGTTAATCAACTTAGCTCTTTTTTAATTGCAGTCATCTTGACATTTCCTTCTCAGCTGCCGTTTCACTTGCCTACAATCAGACTCTTCTATTCGAATTGGAAAATATGCTGAAAAAAATCAAAAACGGGAATAGGGCGAAGAGAGCGCACACGCTGAATGCAGCAAATGAGCGGCGCAGAGAGTGAGAGAGAGTGCACATTTGTGCGTGTGTTAGTGTTGTGCTAGGACCCAAATAGAGCGGCAGACACAAATACACACACACACAAGCACACATTGATATTTATATACATGCATATGCAATCAGAGGTTAATGCTCTGACATGCACTTGAACGACTGACTGCAGTCAGTTCCTGCTCTGCGTGCAAGTGTGTGTGGGGGTGTTGAACAACCTCTGTTATATGTACACAAATATACGTATGCTTATGTTTGTGTAGAATGTTCTAGAAATGCTGCAGTATTTGGGCTTTTGATATTGTTATTTATTTCTATCAGCTGAGTTTTTCCCTGCTGATTATTTTATTTATTTATTTGTATTTAATATTTACCATTTTATTACATTTTTGTCAATCATTTTTATGTTATTTGGTTTATTTGTGTTTTTAATATTTATGCAATACTGTTTCATTAGTTCATAACGTTTTCTACGTGCTCGCGCTCTCACACACATGCAAACACACAGTCGCCTTTTGTATTTTGCCTACAAATAGTTCAATGCACTTCGCAATTTAGGTCAACAACCTTTGTCTATTTGGGTTAAGCTTAAGAAATGCGAGAAATTAATCTATAATAAAATAAGTAATATAATCTCAAATATTTACTAATTTTTTATAACTTAAAAGAAAAAAATTACAAAATTAATAACATATAAACATAGAAATTATTAAAATTTAACTCGCATGCGAGTCCACTTCTGTTAAGTGTGGAGCAGCGCTGTTAATGTCTGTTACGCCACCTAGCGACCGCTAGCTGCAAACGGCACAAAAGTATGCTACAAAAAAGTTAACAGCTGCTTGTTATAGCAAACAGCTTTTGAGCGTGCGCGAAGCAGAGCAGACCTAATAAAACAATTCTGTGTTACGTTATTTTGAAAATGTTAACATGTTTTTAATATTTAAATATTATAAAATAAAGTTGAAATGGGCTTCAATTTTTAATTATAATTATTTTTTTATTAAAAATAAATTATAGCACAAAAGCTGCCGTTCCAGTATTTCAAAATTTGAAAAAAGTTGCAAACTTAAAATTTTTTGTTGTTATATTTGAATGTTATTTATTAAAGATCATTATGTCGTGTTTACTTGTAGTTTAGTTATGTTAGGGTTTTCTTGCTTACTGTTATTTTTTTTTAATA